AGTGTAGGGTTGGGTTGTGTGTGTGTGTGCGTGTTTTTCGCTCAGAGATTCACTTGGAGGTGCAGTCAGTGTAGGGTTGGGTTGTGTGTGTGTGCGCGTGTTTCATTCAGAGATTCACTTGGAGGTGCAGTGTAGGGTTGGGCCGTGTGTGCGTGCACGTGTTTGACTCAGGGATTCACTTGGAGGTGTAGGGCAGGGTTGGGTTGTGTGTGTGCGCGCGCGTGCGTCTGTGTGTGTGTGTTTCAGATTCACTTGGAGGTGCAGTATAGGGTTGGGTTGCAGTTGTGTGTGTGTGTGTGCGCGGGTTTCACTCAGGGATTCACTTGGAGGTGCAGTGTACGGTTGGGTTGAGGTCGAGTGCAGGCATATCTTGCTTCAGTATTCGGAACTGCTGAGTCCGAGTGAGGATCAGGACGTTATGACGCTCCCTCGTCCAGCAGAAAAAGCGGCCACAAGATCGATGAAGCATTGGCCGTCCATGGCACCACATGCACTATGAACACGGCAGGTTGCAACCTGGGCGAAGGAAGAAGGGATTACGGCATGTGGCGCTGCATGATGCATTCGGCCTGCATGCGGTTTTTGCCCACTGACTGTGATAGCGCTGCATGATGTCTGTCCGATGTAATGTCCCTGCGAGATCGAGACGTATCATGCAGTGCATTGCGTTGCAATCTGGTTGTTTGATCTTCACTTGCACATGCATTCGGCCTGCATGCGGTCTTTGCCCACTGTGATAGCGCTGCATGATGTCTGTCCGAAGTACTGGTTTCAATGTCCCTGCGAGATGGAGACGTATCATGTAGTGCATTGCGTTGCAATCTGGTTGTTTTATCTTCACTTGCACATGCATTCGGCCTGCATGCGGTCTTTGCCCATTGTGATAGAGCGGCCATTCCATATCACACAATGCGACGGTCCGTTTGGCATGCAGCGAGTGCAGCGGTAAATAAGCATGAATGCCACGGCTTCTGTACGACGTGCTACTGCTGCCTGAAAGCACCTTGAACGGAGCATGCTTTGAATTCACGAAATTCCGGTCTTCGCATCTGAGGCGTGAACTCCCGAGCCCGAACAAATCTAGATCTTCCGTGTTGTCCAACTGACTGTGCCCTCCCATTCTGCCTTGACCCCGACATGGTTCCAACCCACAGGCTTGCGAGACAGATGAGCCGATCAGGGAGAATTTGTCCGAGGAGGAGTACGCAGCAGCAGCGGCAGCTGCGCCCGGTGACGCGGCACCGGATGATGCCCGAGATGCTGCCTGATCTTGGAGTCCGACATCTCAGTCCGAGGCGGCGTGGAATCTGGACGTGATCCTTAGATCGTCTGAGGTGCCGGTTTGGTGCTGTGTGATCTCAGTCCGAGGCATGCACGCTGGACGTGATCTCTTTTATAAATTAAATTGTTGGCAGGCTGCTACAACAGCGTCTTGTCCATGCTGATAATGTTTTTGCAAAGGACAAAGGTTGTCTAGCGAAGCCAAGCAGTTTTTGCAATACTGTTTGTAATCTGCAGAATCAGAAGTGTGAAAGTGCCGCTGTATTATTGCTGAAGCCCAAGGCTTTAGGAGGGGCCTCCTGGAGGAGGAGGCTTTAACAGCAGCACCTGTCCGAGGGAGCGCGTCTAGGCCATGAACAAACTCTCCGCGGTACAGCAAGCTGTGGACTTCTTGAAGCGGAGGAAGAGCCAGGTGCGCTCTTGGCCCGAGGGGTTTACGTGTGCCATGGCTCAGAAAGCTTCCTGGCTTTGAAGGCGCTTTTCAGAGCTGTGACAGAGAGAACTTCCTGAATAACTCGAGGTTGACACCTTCTACTTTGCGTCCGAAGTCCAGCTGAGGGAGTCTGCCAAGCTCGTTTTGACAGAGGACCGCTCTAAGGGCTTGTCTTGCTTCGGCGCTGCCAGGATCAGAAGTCAGTCTGCTCGAGCATCGTGTTAGGAGTGTGGCGGTGCTCTGGACATCACGAGCCTCAAAGCAGGGCTGAACACGAGGACGCGTACAAGACTGCGTCCGAGGCAGCGAACTCTTTGCCGTTTAGCTTGGGTGCGAGGCTTTCAAGGCAGGGGGGAGGGTAATGAGGTATAGCGGTCACTGCTTTGAAAAGCATTTTTCCGAAGCCCCTGAGATACAAGGCTGGGAATGGCAAGGAAGCACGGCAGGTGGTGCGAATCTTGCATAGAGTGAGTCCTTGAAACCGCTCTGCCAGGTCCGAACGAGCGGGTTCCTGCACAAGCGTGTTGTCCGAGAAGATCCGATCCTGAAGGAGGAGAAGCAGAACCCGAGGCCAAGACAGCGTTTGAGAATCGCACAACTTTATTCAGCATTCGATCAGTCATGTCGATCTGTCACCGAATGCGAATTTCCACAGTTGTCAATGCCTGAGGCTGTGAGTCTCCTGGGTGAGCAGCGTTTTCGTGTGGACTAGTTGTGGACGTGGCGGCATGTCAACACAGGCCCACCCCAGTGCTTTCTGGTGGAGCTGGGTCGTCTGCGAGGCGATGGAGCTCGCTTGTCTTACAGATTCCACGATTCAGAATCAGAAGAGTGAGATCCTGTAGCTGTTTGCCAGGTGTGCCGGATCTGCTCACCATCGAGATGAAACAGTGCGGGGTGCCTCGCAACGGCGTGGTGAGCTTGGCAACGCCATTAGCCTAAATGTAATGGAACGTCTTCTCTGCCGGGTCCTACCAGCCTGTGGCCTTTCCGTGCCACTGGCAGACTTTTGGTCCGAGCTCGGACGAGACGTTCGCTCCAAGAAGGCTTGGCAGAAGATCACCCGCCGCAGGGTTCCATTGCGGAAATAGCTCAGACTCAGCATTGTGGAGAGTCGTTTGATTCAGACTGTGATTGTATCAGTGCCCGAACAGGCGCCGGCTACTAACAGAAGTGGAGTCTGACCCGGGACAGCATACAGAGCATGCGTCAAAAGATGTCGAGGGGAGATGCTTTCTGTCCACGGCTGCCTTAGTTGCATGGGATTCATGGTACGCAAGCATGCAACAAAGCCAAATCTGTCTCTGATTTTTGGTATCGAGCCCGAACACAGCAGCTTCTTGAAGGCATCCTCGCCCAGCCGCCTCTTCGCCCCAGTGCCATGACAGCTCCAACAGACTCTGCGCAGGAGCGCAAGTCGGGCACTGACCTCAGGATCAGATTTCTAATGAGGCTATGTACCTAAAATCTCTCGGCATTGTCAGCCGCAGGCAAGACCATCACGATGGCGGATGTGGCCGAGGGCACTACTTGGACTTCGGTTCAGGCCGAGACCTTCTTGAAGGCATGCGTGCTGTGTCGCAAAGGATCGAAGATCGAGCTCGGGCTCATCCGGAAGCCGGAAGGGTTGGTTCTGGTTCGCGAAGAGCTCATGAATTTCACCCGAGCCTTGGAGAAGCTGGTGCGTCCGAGTGACGCGAGGCAGGAGCATGGGATGAGCCCTTTAACTGAGACTGTGATTGTCGGAGTGCCTGAACAGGCACCGGATGTTTACCACTATCAGAATCCTGACCGAGCCGGCGCCTGGTCCGAAAGCCCACGTCATGGGACAGGGTTTGGTCTCTGTCTGTGTGACACAAATCAATCGGTCTCGTTCTCGCCTGCTCTTGAACTTCGCAGGACACCACGAGGACGAGTACATGAGCATGGTCTGGTCGGGGGGTATGCCCGATGGTGCATTGGAGGAGAAGAAGAACCAGGGCATTTGGGTGCACATGGATCCGACCGAGCCGGGCCAGTACCTGGACTGCTTCCACAAGGCAGGCTTTTATCTGTTATTCCTGTCGGAGAGTCTTCACGCCCGTTCTGCAATGCTTTGGTCAAGGGTTCCAGCCTGGTGGCCTTCGCGATATCCGCTAAGGTGTGGGATTCAGGCTTTCAATTTCGGATCGAGGAGGGATCGAGGAGACTTGCCTTTGGTTTACAATGACTGAGTTCTGGTCTGTTGCTGTCTGAGGAATGTCTGGGGCACGCGCCTTGAGATAGTCGGCTTAGGGCTAAAAGCACGGTTTGAAGGGGTCAATGTTTGGGGGTGTGTTTGTACTAGTTTCGGTTGGGTTGGCGAGCTTTAGCAAGACAGCTGCTGAAGCTAAACATCAGATCCATGTTGGCAAGATTGGGCTCGGTGTTTGGTGGCGGATTGAGGTTTGGACCAGTTTCTGGAACACTTCTGAGAGATCAAGTTGGCATGTATGTGTGTTTCACTCTGGGTTTCACTTGGAGGTGCAGTGTAGGGTTGGGTGAAGAGGTCGGGTCAAGGCGGCATATATATATATATATATATAGTATATCTATATATATATATATGCATATTTTTCTCATGGCCTGCATTTCAAGTATTCCGAACTGCTGAGTCCGAGCTAGGGGCAGGACCCTTTCATTTCATTTATGACTCTCCATCGCCCAGCGAGTGGAATCGGTTACAAGATCAAATGGTGGCTGTCCATGGCTTCCACACTGCCTTTGACATGCACTATGAACACGGCAGGTTGCAACCTGGGCGAAGGAAGAACGGATTACGGCATGTGGCGCTGCATGATGCACTCGGCCTGCATGCGGTCTTTGCCCACTGTGATAGGGCTGCATGATGTCTGTCCGAAGTACAGGTTTGAATGTCCCTTCGAGATGGAGACGTATCATGCAGTGCATTGCGTTGCAATCTGGCTGTTTTATCTTCAGTTGCACATGCATTCGGCCTGCATGCGGTCTTTGCCCATTGTGATAGAGCGGCCATTCCATATCACACAATGCGACGGTCCGTTTGGCATGCAGCGAGTGCAGCGGTAAATAAGCATGAATGCCACGGCTTCTGTACGACATGCTACTGCTGCCTGAAAGCACCTTGAACGGAGCATGCTTTGAATTCGCGATTTTCCGGTCCTTTTGGGAAATACTTTCGCATCTGAGGCGTGACCTCCCGAGCCCGAACAAATCTAGATCCTCCGTGTTGTCCAACTGACTGTGCCCTCCCATTCTGCCCTGATCCCGACATGGCTCCGGCCCACAGGCTTGCGAGACGGATGGCAGACTTCCCTGGGTGTTCGAGAAGGGCGGGCCGCGTCTCTACGTGTATGGTACGAACATCATCCGCAAGGGCGATGCCGAGATTCCGACCGAGACTGCCGCGAAGCTGAAGAAGATGGGTCTCGGGAGCACCGGCACGGGCAAGAAGGTGGGCCGAAAAGAGCTTATGAACTTGAAGCTTCGCACGAGTACGGCAAGCGCAGTGTGGAGGAAGACAAGGAAGCCGGCGATGAAGGTGAAGAAGTTTCGGCTGAGATGCCCGAGTTGCAAAGCGATCATCGAGCCGATCAGGGAGAACCTGTCCGAGGAGGAGTACGCAGCAGCAGTGGCAGCTGCGTCCGAGGCACCGGATGCTGCCCGAGATGCTGCCTGATCTTGGAGTCCGACATCTCAGTCCGAGGCGGCGTGGAATCTGGACGTGATCCTTAAATCGTCTCAGTGCCGGTTTGGCGCTGGATGTGTGATCTCAGTCCGAGCCATGCACGCTGGACGTGATTTCTTTTATATTGTCGGCAGGCTGCTACAGTAGCGTCTTGTCGATGCTGATGTTGCTCTTGCAGAGGCCCACAACAACGGACAAAGGTTGTCTTGCGAAGCCAATCAGTTTTTGCAATCCTGTTTGTAATCTGCAGAATCAGAAGTGTGAAAGTGCCGCTGTAATATTGCCGAAGCCCGAGGCTGAGAGATTTTAGGAGGGAACTCCTCGAGGAGGAGTTTTTGCAGCCGCACCTCCAGGGGAGTGCGGTGAGGCCATGGCTCCCAAGAAGCCCGTGAAGAAAGCTGCCAAGGCGGCAGCTGGCAAGGCGAAGGCAAAAGCTGAGGACAGCGTGGCTACGGCCGAGCCATCACACCCTGAGGACGCCAAGGCGGCACTCTCTGCGGTACAGCAGGCTGTGGACTACTTGAAGAAGAAGAAGCTATGGCAGTCCCTCAAGCCCACCAAGATGAGCCAGGTGCGACCTTGGCCCGAGGGGTTTACGGGCGCAATGGTGGAGAAGGCTTCCTGGCTTGAATTCGCTTTTGCGAGCTGTGACCAAGAGGACTTCAGATTATTCACGATCAGAGCTGCATAAACTGAGGTTGCCACCTTCTCCGGCACGGTGGCTGACGTCAACTTCGACAACCTTGAACTGGCGTCCGAGGTACAACTGCGGGAGAGCGCGTTCTACTGGTTCGGCGAGGACAGAGAACAACCTCAGGCCCTGTTCGTCTCCGCAGCGGTCCACAGCGAAACACAGAGGGGCGACTTGACTCTGACCGAGGACCACGCCAAACTGGCAGGACTGGTGCTCCTCTGGTCTGAGTCCGAGCGTGCGTCCGATGAGAAACGCTCCGCAGCTCTGAGAAAGATATGCTCGAGCATCGTCTTCGGCGTCTCCCGAGTGCAGGCTTCGGACATCACGAGCCACAAAGCAGTGCTGAACACCATCCAGCAAGGCGAGGACGCGTACAAGACTGCGTCCGAGGCAGCGAACTCGTTGCCGTTTGTCTTGGGTGCGAGGCTTACAAGGCAGGCTAGGGGATAATGGTCGATGTCAAAATGCTTTGAAGTGCTAAAATTTAGACGCGGACTGGGCTTCACGAGGCTTCAGATGGCACTGTTCAAGGAGAACCCGGAGCAAGCCAAACAGAGGGACGTCTTCAACGCGCTTCAGACAATTCAGTGGTCGTCCGAGGAAGCAAAGGCAGGAATGTAGTAGGGTGCAATGTTACTACAAGGGTTCCAATCCAAGCAAAAGCGTGCACAGGTAGAAAATGAAGACAAAGTTGAGAAGCTTCTGACCCTGCACAAGAAGAGCGTCGCGGCCGGACTTCACGTCGCCCTCCAGAGCACTCAGATCGTCAGGGGGGTCAGAACGTGGCTCTCCAAGTGGGGGGTCGTGACACGAGTGCGACTTGGCTATCTCAGTCAAAAGTGAGCTCTGATGTGAATCTTACTACGCATGAAATTCGCCGCCCCAGGGCGACGGCACTGAAGACAACAGAGGAGTTCAGATTCGTGATGTGCTTCTACGTCAAGGCAGGAATGTTCGTGGCTCCTTATTATGCCCTTTTACTTTTGACCCGATACTTGCAGGAGCTGCGGCCGGACGCTTTGCCCGAGGGAGCCACTGCTGCAAGGATCAGCTTCCATTCTGGATACCCGGACTTGCGCAAGCTGACCCGTGACCAGATCCTGCAAGCCACATCAGCCTTGCACATGCGGTTTGTCACTGTGGAGAAGCTGTGCGACCTCAAGAACCCATCCGACAGAAGTGATGTTGCAAACTTCTTGAGTTTGCTGAAGCAGGCCCTGGACCCGTTCAAGTGGGCTACTGCAGATTGGGCGGCTTTCTCGGCCTTTGCATCCGAGCCCTTCGTGACGGTGGCGAGCTTCGTGATGAAGATCATGGCTGGCGAGATGGACAAGACTTTCCAGGAAGCAGCAGGCAGTGCTGAAAAGGCACGGACATTCACTAAATCGTCATTAGCTCTCAATGCCAGAGTGAAAAAGTTCAGTCTTGAATAATTAGGGTCCCTGGTCTTCCTTGGAGGAACAGTACCCAGACCTCATGGCTGCCATCCGAGAGGTGTCGGACAAGTGGTCCATGGCCATGAATCCTGCGCCCTCTCCGCCACCGGAGCCGCAGGCGGAGACGCCGCCAAGAGCACGCAGTTTCCAGTGCCAGATGGAGGAGGAGGTCGACACTCCCAGCAAGCTGTCGCCCGAGCAGCTGCGAGAGAGGCAGCTTGCCGCAGCGGTGGAGGCCGGGAACGGAGAGGTAGGACAGTGTCAGCTCGATGTGCAGTGTGCTTAGTGCCTCTGCCACAGGAAGAGTGCGCATTCTATGTCCACTACGTTGTGTCCGACGTCCGGAGCGCCAGTGCGACCACCTTGGTCCGAGCTCTGTCCGATCATCGCCTCCTGAGCGGCGACAATGTGACAGGCGTGACGCTCTGGTACTTCGATCCGTCCTTGGTTTGTGAGAACCACCCCTATGCCCGAGTCAGCTCCAATATGTACACGAGAACACCTGTGTTCGACAAGTGTGCCCTCTCAACGTTTTTGGAGAGTTACGACCGAGTCGCCAGAGAGGAGGTGGGCACATGACATGAGCATGGCACAAGTCCGAGTTGCGAGAGCGTAAACCCACTAAACCCTAACTAAACCATAACCTGCCAGGACGTGTACTTGACCCTGGATGCTGGCGTGCAGAAGGGGTCGCAGGAGATCAAAAAGGGGGTCGCCAAGGTCGAGGACCTCTGCCTTCAGCAGATTTTGCTTGTGCCCGAGCAATCCTGCCTCCAAGCTCGCAGAGACTACTTCAGGTCTGCGCAGGGCACTGAGAGTGAGTGTTGTGTGAGCAGAAGTAGACGGACTACTAGTGCATCGTTCAGAAGTTGCAATGCAATGTAACAATAAGGTCCGAGGCAAATGCGAAACGGCGAAAGACCTCGACAGCTGGGGATCTCTCTTCTGTTGCAGGGCGGGAGACTATGTATTTTGGACGAAAAAGTGGACCGGTGGAAGCCCGAGATCACATCGCGTGGGTTTCGCCGGGTGCATCATCCACAGCTTCGCCTGCAACTGGGCCAAATTTCGCAGAGTCACAGAATCAACCTTCATTGTGTTGGGAAGCCTTGCGGCTTGTCTGCAGGTCTTGAGCGCAGTTCCTCTGCCGAATCCGGCCGACTTGGTGCATGGAACTTGGGCCGAGAAGAAGACCGCCATTCCGGAAAAGCTGGGCAAGATGGTCTGCGGCGACGCGCCGGTTGAGGCTTCAGTTCATTGAGATGAGAAGAATGAGAATTTCAGCCGTCGCAGCCATTGCAGTTTCAGATTTCATTCCTGTGCAGGTCCTCACGTCCGAGGGTGCGGATGGCGAGAAGATGCCGCTGTTCTTTTTCGAGAAGTCCGAGGCGTTTTACAACATGGTGCTCCACGCAACTTTTAATCCAGATCGTGTGGTCCTGATGACCCCAGGCGAGGGAACCTTTGTGACCGAGGCAGTACGGCAGAGGACGTCCGTGATCTGCATCGTGGCGAACGAAAAGCAGAAGGACATACTCATGGCCAACATCAAGAAGCGCCTCCGTGTCCGAGTCGCGAATGCCAACGACCGCCGCTTCTATCGCCCACCGATGACAATGAGTGTGACGCCGAGTGCGGCTTCGCCCGAGGCCCCGAGCTTGAGGCCGAGCACCCCAGCGGCCCCCGGTGAAGCCCCTGCTACGACAACGCCTACTACTACAACGGCAGTCCCGAAGGCATCGGCTACAACAGCGGCAGTCCCAGAGGCGAAGGCGAAGAGCACCGTGGAGTCGGACGACGACGGAGACTCATTGTCTGGCTCGTTGTCGCAGGAGGAGTCCTGATTTTTGTCCGAACGGTCCTCGGTCATTGACTGATTTTGGAAATAGTGAATGAAAATTTCAGCCACAATGGCAGAAGCAGTCCAGCAGCCGAGGACCGACCGATTTCTTGTGCAGCTGCGCACCTGATTCAGTTCGCGATGCAAAAGAATGCCCGACTGTTTTGCCTTTTCGTGCAGTGCTTTCCAGAATGATGATTGAGTCTCTGCATTCCTTGGGAGGCTGAAACGTGCCAGCTGCCAACCTTGCCCCGGCCTTACTCCAGGCACGCAGGCATTTCGCGTTCAGACACACATTGACAGCACCGCTCAGGTTTATCTACTTCGACAACGGACTCAAATCCGAGAAGGCCTGACGGCCTGTTTTGCCATACGAAGGATCACACAGACTGCCTAGCCTTCAACTCGAAATTCCTTGCAGCCTGGCTCAGTTCCCCAATCAATCATTAATCCTTCGCCCAAGCCAAAGATTACTACCACACACCCAGCCCAGTGCACAGCATGTTGAGCATTACATAAATTCCTGGGAACGTCATGGGCCATGGCCGAGCAAGCAGGCGCATGCATTGGCGACGCAGGCGGGCTGCTGAGATATTCAAAACAATGACCCAAGTCTGAGATGGCAAGCAATCAAACCCAGGAGGCCCTGCTGCGCGTGACCACTGCCTCCTTGCCACCCATCAAACGGAACTGGGCAGCGGGCAGGCAGAAGGCGGCGAGGATCACGTTTCTACGTGCAGGCTTGGTCATAGGAAGTGCGATTGGAGCCGGAATTGGAACATTTTTTCATGTGCTGTATTTCGGACTTTACTCCACTACTGCTACTACTACTACTACTAGTACTATATTACTACTACTACTACTATTACTACTACTACTACTACTACTACTACTACTACTACTACTACTACTACTACTACTACTACTACTACTAAGTACTACTACTACTGCTACTACTACTACTACTACTACTACTACTACTACTACTACTACTACTACTAGTACTACTATTGCTACTTCTACTTTTACTACTATTACTACTTTAATATACTACTCTATATACTATTACTATAATAAATAGTAGTATGTATACTACTACTACATTATATATATATATACTACTACTACCACTACTAGTACTACTATATATACTACTACTTATGCTACTTTATATACTACTATCTATATACTACTAGATATACTACTATATATACTACTATAATACTACTATACTACTACTACTACTACTACTACTACTACTACTACTACTACTACTACTGCTACTACTACTACTACTACTACTACTACTACTACTACTACTACTACTACTACTACTACTACTACTACCTACCTACCTACCTACCTACCTACCTACCTACCTACCTACCTACCTACCTACCTACCTACCTACCTACCTAGTACTACTGCTACTGGTGCTACTACCACTACTGATCGTGAAACACTGTGAGCTGGTCAACACCCAGGCACCCGATGCTTCTTCGAGGCAGGCTTCATGGGCCGATTGCGCAAGGGCTCGAAAAAACTCTGCAGCCCGAGTGAATCGCTCGCGTGGCGTTGCCGCTTCAGCTTCGATCACCCGATCACACGACGCTGAGCAGCCAGATATCATCATCCGCAGTGTGGTTCATTTAGTATTTATGTCCGAGAACTGAAATCCAAATGAGGAAAGAAAGAAAGCTGGTTGACCATGCGTCCGATTACTTGGGGTGGATGGGGCATCGGTTGTTGGATTTGCAACACTTTCAAAGTGCAGGGGCAACACGTCCGCAAATGGAGGCGGAGGGAGAGGTTGCAAAACGTGCGCAGGCAAACTTCACTTCGGAACCCTGCTTGCTGTTTCTTGGAACCGAGGTCGTGCTCTTTTGCCCGATTGACGGTGACAACACGGGACATGATGTCGCCTCATACCTTCGCTACGCACGCCAAGAGCAAAGGCCACGTCCGAGCATTGGAGGCCTTAGCGGCCGCAAACATCAAGCCCGAGGACGGGGTTTGCAAGCGAGGCATCGAGGCCATTGCCACAGGCATCTCGGTCGGTGTGCCGCGCATAGACAAATTTCGTCTGGCTGCCACAGTGGTTGGTCGGCGAGACAGCTTCCGAGAAGCTCAGCCACAGTGGCCGTGTGTGACATAGAGGTCTTCGGAATGATCATTCCGGCTGCAACTAAGGATTTCAAATCCTATATGGAATGTCTTGGAGAACAGGACTTTTCGGAGCGAGTCTGCAAGCAGATGATTGCATCCATGTCGCGAGTGCTACATGGCCAAGATCTATGTGTTCTGGAGAAGGTCATTGACGTGTGTGTTTGTGTGTGCGGGTGTCTCTGCAGTCGCAACTGTAAGCAACTTCAGTACATGTCACAACTGAGTCGCTTGCTTGCTGCATGGAGGCCGAGCACTGCTGCATTGCGCTGGACGAACGAGACTCCTGCGTGCTTGTGGCGCGCGCATGTACTACACAGGCCAGGCAGACCCAGAATTAAATACCCCGCGTCGCAGCAATTCCTGCCTGTTCTGAGACATGCTATAATGAGCCTTCATCAGTGAGGACTCAAGCGCAACAAGTGGTTGCCACCGAGTGGACTCTACGACTGCCTTGTCGGCATCGCCCGAGACTATGGACCGGGGCCGGATACACGAACAGCACGGATGAGACGTTGTTGGTTGTACGGTTTTTTATAGCTCCCGAGTGTGTCTGGCAAAGATCTAAGGAGAACGTTGCCAAGGCGGTCATGGCGACCTTAAGGTCATTCTGCACTCGGAGAATCGGTCGCAGAGACGCTGGAGGAGTGAATGGGCCCGATGACAAAGTCGACGAGGACCTCTTTGAGCGGCTGAAGGACCCGGCAAAAGCCGAAAGTGGGGCAACATCACACTCTCCTTCTGCATATTTGGCATGTTTAAATTAATAATGAGGGATGTTAAACTTGTAAGGCCCGACTTCACGTTGCAGTCTGCGATGGTGGTCTCTCCGAGCAGCAGGCCATGCAGACTTTGGCGGCGTCCGAGGAGGGGCTTCCTGCACTCAAATTTGTCGTTCGCGACCGAGCGCACCGGATGCGAAGTGTTCAGAAGCAGACATGGGATGCACTCGCCGGCCTCTGCACTCTTCTCCCCATCCTCGTTACGTCCGAGGGAAGCGTCTGCCGGCAGCTCGAGAACTCCCGCAAGCTAGGGCTGCTGTGGGAGGCCTCTCAGAGAGCAAAGCCCTCCCAGTTCACTGGTGCATTACGCAGTTTTTCCTTCTGCATGCAACGTTTCGAGTCCGCGTCGATGCCTCTCTACAAGATCCTGCGGACGCTTCCCGCTTTGTACGAGTTCTTGGCCCGAGTATGCAAAGACGGGGACCTCGAGGACGAGAAGTGGGCCCGAAATGTGCTCGAGCAGCTCACCGGCACTGGGGCAGGCGCAGCCATCGTTCGATGTGGCATCGTGTCCGATGCCATGTTGACGTGCAACCGCTTCCTTAGACTTTGCGACAAGGCCGATGATGATGCTTGCCTGGCAGGTTCGCAGGCCGGGTTGTGTGACGGTCCGGTGTCCGTTTACGAGTAATAACAAACAGTGTCAGTCTTGGATTGGGGGTTATTGCTTCAGACGTCTGTCAGAATTGATTCATGGTGTTATAAGCGTCTCGGTCCTCATTATGTTGGAATTTAGTAGTAATGATGAACTGACGACCTTTGAACCATCCTTTCTCAGATGTGCCACTCAGTTCTCGGAGACAGATAAAGGAGCACCCCTAATTTAAGACATAATTGCAACCCTGAGATTTCAAGACCTACGCACACGACAGGCAGCCGAGGTGATGCATTCCATGAAGCATCTCTTCTATGAAGGAGCTTTGCTCGAGGCCCAGGAGAGCATGACGCTCCAAGCCATGCGTACGATCCAGGAAGTGGGCTCTGTGCGAGTACTTGCCCGAAGAACTGCTGGGGCACGAGGTGCAAGGCCAGAGCACATACTGCCAGTATGGAACGACTCCAGTGAGCAAGCTATCAAGAAGGACATGAAGCGCGTGTACAAGATTGTTGATGCTTACTTTCGTTCCAACTTTCCGCACTGGGATTACATGAACTCGTTGAGCGCACTCGACCTTCACGCGAAGTTAAGTATGACTCAAAGAAAGAGTCTTGTAGCCAGAATGGCAAAGCAATGGGGCTTGAATGCTGACGCTTTGTGGCCCTTTGATCGCAGGTAATTTATGGTGTGTCTTCATTACCTGCTTGCCTTCTCGACCCTGCCCAGTCTGAGGAACCAGCTGGTGGGCAATGCGACCGAGACTGATGTGGGAAATGGTTTGTTTGCCCGAGCTTTGTGGCACGCTCGCAATCCCAGCCAACAGCCATCAAAGGATGCATGGGTTTGCGCCTTGTCCGAGTTGCGCAAAGGACAGGTGCAGCAAAGGCCCGATGCTGTAAAACTGGTGAAGCACGCCCTGACATTCATGACATCCACCTGCAATGTGGAGCGATGGTTGCACGAAATCGGTTTGACCGAGCACAAAAGCCGAGCACATCACCTGAATGTTTACCGGCTGGAGGATGCTGTCAAACTCAATGTGCAAAACATGAAAGGCAGGTGCTCGGTCATGCAGGCGGACTACTTGACCACAAGTGCGTCCGAGAGTCAGCAGCGAGGCGTGCGGTGGCAAGCATCGGATTTTGGGCTGCGAGCGCAAAGAGCTTATGCAGAGTACTTCGGAGACAGGGAGCTGCCAGCCCGAGACCTGTTGGCCATGCAAGATCGCAGTGACAAGCCGAGGCTGGCACCTTTGAGGGCGTCGTCCGAGAAGTCACTCAACAGCCAGCTGAAACGGCATAAGGAATCCTTGGATTCCGCTGTGTCCCAGCGATGCAAGAAGCCAAAGATCATGTCCGAGATGGTGGCGGCTGCAGAGGACTTTGCAAGCAGTGTCTCGGCCTGGACTTCCGATAGCTGGATGTAGTGTTGTACTTACTTGTACAAAGGTATATAGCTGTGAGCCACTAACAGTTGCCAGAAAAAGGCATGGATTCCGGTGCCCAGCCATCCCAACCGAATCCGGAGCGGAAGCGAAACAACGCCGAGTCCGAGCACACCGCTGCCATTCCGCCCGAGACGGAGGAGGATGCCGTGGATATCATGATCAATGAAAAAGTGGCCGAGCAGAACGAGATTGGGAAGAAAAGGCGCGCGATACAGGTGGCGACTCCTGTTAGGTCCTTGGCGCCCTATGTGCACACCACCGGCGCTGTGATCGGCCCGATTTCTGGCAAAGCTGAAATCCCCGCCCGAGTGGTTGCTCCAGCTCCCGGCTCGACTATCATGGTGAAGCTGGCGGAATGCGCGAGGTGGCCCGAGGCTGCAAGCTCCCGCTTTCGCATGACTACTGACTGGTCTAATACCCAGATGTTACAAGTCCAGTGCTTCAATCAGGAGCTGCTCACCCCTTCCGCTTTGATTTGCCGTTTGCGTGGTCTCCATGTGGCCGACCAAATGTTCATCGCATCTAATATGCGGAAAGGAAGCTGCATATGCTTCCAACGCGGCTTGGACCTGCACTACTACTTCTATTTGACCGAGGACTTTATCAGAGTGCACTCCGCCCATGCGGCTGTTTTGCTCGAGTATGGGGAGAAACAAGGCTGTAAACTTAGAGTTTACCGGCGGCCGATGCCCGAAAAACCGCGGCATCCTCTCTTGTCGTTTTCAGTGGTTCCATCGTCCGAGGGCGATATCGAGGGCAAGTCCTTAAATCTGGACCAGCTGCTCGCCAAAGTAGGGGTTTTGGGGGAATCCGAGATTACAACATCAGCCAGGTGAAAAAATCTGGGTGCTACTCAGTGCCAGTTGTCATGTCATCATGTTCGAAGTTGCTTTTTTGCATTTGCACCAGACAGTGTGGATACCCTTTGCCAGGTGGCCCACAGTGAAGGGGATTGATTGCTTGCCAGCTTGAAAAAGTGTTCGCCAGCCAATGCTCAGTCAGTCATGTTTGACAACCACTACTTGTCTACTGCCTACATGTACAGTCTTATATATGTGTATGTCATATACAACAGTAACCTGGGGCAAAAAACCTAAAAACTTAATTGTTTGCCAATGCCCGAGAAGCATGAAGCGACAAACGGGCCATACACCTGAAACGCTTAAGCCATGAACCCCAGACCCTTATCACCCTGCAGGCCCTGTTAGCCCTAAACCTTACAGCCCTGAACCCCACAACCGGTAAACCCTAAACCCCTAAACCCACAATCCCTAAACCACAAAACGCTAAGCCCATAACCCCTAAACCCTAAACCCGCGACCCCTAAGCCGGCAAAAAGGCTGTCTCGGCGGCGTCGCTCGGCTCCGGCTACAACTCGAATGTGTCGCCCGAGGCATCACCTGGCAAGGCAAAGGCAGCAAAGAAACCCCTGGCTGCTGGGTTGTACTTCAGAGCGCTTTGGGGTTTTACGGTTTCGTTTCTACTTCATCACAGACGTTTCGAATGCAAGGGAGATATAGAGATATATATATATATAGAGAGAGAGAGAGAGAGTATTATGGACCAATAAGCATATCATATTTCTTGGCGTTCTTCTGGTTGGCTCTTTAGACTTTAACTTTTTGGGTTTCTATATGAACTATAATAAGGACGCTAAAAGTTTAACTTTTAGGAGGGGTAGAAGTCAGCCAAGATTTAATGTTGGGACAAAGCAGCTTACAGGCTGATCCGGACGACTTCTTCAGTGAGTTTGGCATGTAGGAAACTATCCGGATCTGCACTGCGGTGACCCGGAGTGCACAGATTGCACACGACACTTTTTCCAGCAGTCTTCGGAGACATTCCGACAGGACATCAAGTTGGAGACAGCTCCTGCTTTGCTAAGAGCTGTTCGGCTTTCATGGCTGAGCCTTCTGCAGTCAAGGTTAAGCTTGGTAGTATAGTAGGTCAGCTTGAACTTGTAACATACTATTCTGCAACTTTTTGGGGTAATGTAATTCGGATGTATCGACGAAGGTTGACCTGTAGCCCCTGTAGGAAAGTCAACAGTTTAGTAAGAAGTGAGTCTTCATCTGATGTCCACGTACCAGGAACGATCTGCCAACCATCCCCGCAGGCATGCTGCTCACCGGACAAGCGCAGGATGTTGTGGGTTTAGGGTTCAGGGTTTGGGTATTACGTAGCACCGAGACATATCGGGCAGCGTCTGATCAATCCAAAGAGCACACCCTAGATTGTAAATGCTGCCCGAAGCGGCACCCCGGCACTGCACGTGCAATGGCTGATGTCTGGGATAAAGCTGGCTGCCTGGTTTGGGGATGGCACTTGGAGGATCATGGGACTTTGTAGTTAAGGTTATAAGTACCATAATTGGCTACCCCAGTAATATCCGTAGTTGCTAAGTCCCATGACCCTTTAAGTAGATGTACGATTCAGGAGCTGTGAGCATTCCGGCTTAAACCCTCGGCATGCCCATTAACCTCGGCTCGGCTACAGCTGCGGTAATTATCCTCACTCCCTGTCAGTTCTGGCCAAAAAGTTGAGGTGCGGGTGCTCACAGCCCGTACAGATCTAGACAGGGGGCTTCAAGTGGTTCGACTGACAAACAGCATTCTTTTGGGATGATACAGCAATTACACCCCCAACCGAAAACAGAGACTACCTGTCCACGTTGACATGCAAGCCATCCTCTCAAGCGCCCACTGGCTGTGACCAGAGCGCCACAGTTGTTGGAGGTGCGGACGCCTGCAGAAAAAAGGGCCATCCGAGAGCATTTTCGAGCCCTCGGTCATATTCGCTTAGTATATATATATATATATGTATGTGTGTATATATATATACACACACACATATATATATATATAAATGGAAGCCTCTACACCATAAGGAGCCCAAAACCGTATTCTAATAAGGCCCCTGCATTGCACGAGGTCAGGAGACGTTGGGTCTGGACCACCAGGGTACCTTTGTCATTGTTGGGTAACATTCTACATTTTTATGGGTACTTAACCCAATAAGGAAAATGTTCATTTTCAATCCTGTCCCAACAACGAACTAGGTACGCTGGCATGCTTCAACAATCTGGCGTCACTGCTCCAAGAGCGAGGCAACAATGAGGAGGCACTGGAAGGTTCCCAGTTGGAGGGGCAGGAGACTTAGGAAGTAAGGTTATAGGTACCTTAATTGGGGTTAGTTACCTTATAACCCCAATTACTTTCATTTCAATTTTGAGTCATGATGGGGGGCGGTAGGGTTTTTCAGATTGTAGATCCCCTTGTGTCGAACATGGATTTGTGCGAACTTTGGGGTTTGGTTGCTTGCTGTCTTGGGGTTCATCAAACCATCAAATTATGCAAAGCTAGTACAGCAGCAGCCAAAACTGCAACGGATCTTCAACAGAGACTAGGACGGTGATTGGGAGTCTCTGTACCTGCTTGCACAGGCGTACATTCGAGTGCTTCCGGCAACATGTTTCTCACTTCTGTGCCAAGACCCGCACAAATTGCACACTCAACTGCCCTACGCCCCTTCTTTCAGGCGTCATGCTGGTAGAGTTTCAAGTCTCGCAAGTGTACGCATTTCGGACTTCCTGTTTCTCAGCGTGTTCAGAACATCTACTTTCTGCTTGTGTTTAGCACGTAGCATTTGATAACCCGGATTTCAAGCTTGCTGGGGTTTTAATCCTGAAACTCGAAACCCACAGAGTCCCGTAGAAACCCCAAAGCCAGAGGCTCGCAAAACAGTGCAGACCCGAAGTCTCTGCCCTAATCCCTAAATAGGAGTTTCCGAAAATTACGGGTACCTTAGTCTGGGGTCCTTATAATAAGGATCCTACTTTTTTTAGCGTACTATATTAGGGTCCCCTGGTTTCGGAAACTCCCAAATGTTTTCTGTAAGGAGACTGTCCTACGGGAAGGCAAATGCCCCAGATGAGACTGTGCCGCTATGCGTGTCGAATGTGTCTTGGAACGCTGCCTAGTGCCTCGTTCAGCGTTGCAGGAGGCAAGGAAAAGCCTTAAAAGAGCCCCAAGTATCTTCAGAAGGGCTACTTACCCAACCTCTAATAGTAATTCCCATTATGGAGACCCTACATTCGACTGTCTCGGTGCTCAGGGCCCTTTGGGCTTGTGAAGTCTTACAACTGTCTGGTGTTTTAGTAGGGAATGGAGACGGGATCCCTATAGTAGCCCCTATATAACCCCCAACAAAAAAGTCCCAATAACCCATTCCCCCACTACCTACTACAAGAACCAGACAGTCAAGACCCCTTGTAGATGCCAAAATAGGATCCCTTATAGATCCCTTTATAGGATCCCTAGCGTAGGACCTTTTAAAGGAAGCCTCAACAGTTCCCCCATTCCCTACGAAGAACCAGACAGATAAACCCTAAACCCCTAAACCCTAAACCCTAAACCCCTAAACCCTGAACCCTAAACCTCCCTCTAAAAATGTACTAAGAACCAGACAGAGAATTCCAAGACCCGGAGGCGGAGACGCTGTATAAGAGGAGCTTGGAGCGGAGCGGGATGCCAAGTAATAGAGGGGCCTTAATAATAGAACAGGATTCCTGTGAAGGGTTCTAAAAAAGGGTTCTTAAAGGGTTACTATAAGGGGTATGATGGGGATCCAATATAGGGGCCTTATAATAATCAGAATGGCGTTTTGGGTATATTCTACTACAGCTATGTTAAGGAACCCGCAAAAGAGTATTGGTAATTTGAGGTGTACGGTTCTCGGCATAAGCGTTCTCGGGTTCTAGGGCTTAGTGTTATAAAGGGTTCAAGGTTGTACCGTTGGATTGTTTTGGCTGTAGGGTTTTGTCGCTTACTGTTTTCGGGTTGTAGATTTTTGGCTGCTTATTGCAGGCTTAAGATGGGTAGAGGGTCGTGGGTTGCAGGCGTTTTGGGGGGTTTTCGTTGTTGTTCGGCTTGAGGGTGTTACGATTTGGGGTGTAAGATGCAGGATTACGGGTCCAGGTG